GTTATTGTAATTTAAGACTTTCCGATTAGACATTATAGTTCATACTGGCATGTAATATAAATAAATAACTATCGGATCCCAATAAATGGAATAAAGCAGTATATTTTTCTTTGTTCTCGCGCAATAAAACCTTTTGAAGTCTTAAAATTGGTTACGCAACAAGTAAGACTTGCGTTTAAGTCACGTCAGCAGATTTGATGCAAGGCTTCGTCATACTTATCTTATCAAATATGGCAACTTTTGAAGCCGATAACTCCGATAATCGTGCTGGATTGGTTTACTCACAAGTACTAGCATTTGCTACATAAACAATATGCTAAGTGGCATTATTTCTTTTACCTAATTAATGAGAAACGATACACAAGAGAAAGTGTTGTAGATTATCATCGGAGGAAAGCATTCAATCTCAGGTTATTTGAACTTGTCATAGTAATAGTTCTCGATCCGAGTTCATAATAACGCGAAGTTATTTGAACGTCGCATCCAAGTTCAAATTTATGTTATCTGAACGTCCCAAGTTCATAACAATAACGCGAATTACACTTAAATACGCAACTTCCTACTACAAAAGCACTCATCCGTAAATTCGCAACACATTACACACGTATACCCACACACACGCTACAATGGTCAATCAATTCGATCTATGTCTCAAAACTGCACAGGGAGGTGAATTGGAAGCTCAATACGCTATGGGTAATTATATTAAATTCGTTAAATTCGGCAAGTATGTGGAAAGAAACTGCGTAATATGATCAAAAGACAACTGCCAACGACCATCTCATAGCACAGTACGATCTTTATTATCTAGAAATAGGTGAACAAATATTCCAGAGAAAGAATTTGCTCGTAGAGCGAGCCAAATATTTATAATATATTATTTGAAAATGAAATCTTCGTTTGTTCAGCGTGACGCAACAATAGCAAGTTCCTAATGTAGCGGGTACTCAAAAGTCTCTGACCACCCTTTAAATTTTCGTTGTCCACAGATAACGTTACAAGAAATTCAGCGAACAACTCGATTGCAGTATGAAGAGCATCTGTATTGGAAAGAGCAAGAGTGAAATTCGAACGCCTATTGGGGAGAAGTTTGGTCGAATTTGTTGAATCTCTGCAGCTGTATGCGTGTTTAGCTTAATGACTTCGACGAATGTCGCGGAAGCAACCATGAATCTTTACATCGCTGCGTGGGTAATAATTGGCTGACATACTTCCATGTCTCATTCTGGATCTGGTTTCTCGTTGATTGTAAGCATTATTTCTAGTCTTTGTTATACGTGCATATTATACTATGTCCAGATTAGACTAGATTCCAGTAGTCTAATCCAGTTTATGATATTCCTCTATACAGTAGATCAGACAACCCTTACTGCAAGTTAGCCATATCGCACATTCTTGATATGAAGCACCGACTGGTTGCTGATGGCAAAGATGCATTGTAAAATAACAATAATTAATTAACGAAGGGTAGAAATTCCCGAGTGGAGTAGATGTGCGGGCGTTGGATACTATGTCGAAAATATGTGTTTATGATTGAGGTGTTACGCCCCAATTGAATAAACAGTGCGGCATACTTTTCAATAATCACCTCTCGCGTCGTTTCTTCCTTATTGTACCATCCCTCTAGAAATCTAAGCATTTCCACTACTGAAATCCCTCCACGTTCTTCATCTCCTTCTGTGTTGCCTACATTTACGCCTTCATTATCATCAGCTTGTCCTTGCATTCCTTGTTTTTGGGATGGTTTAGATTTTAACGTTGACGCAGATGCCATAAAGGCATGAATTTAGTTGAGTTTGAGTCTGAGCGAGGAGTGTTGAAATAAACGATGCGGCTGTTCGACGAACGGTTGGGTTAGGCGGATCAGGAGTTTTGAATGCTGATATGGTACCAATACCAAACACTCCCGGATTTAATCTGCCTCTCATTGTCTTCATGAATGGGGGACGAGAGCCAATGTGAAAGACCTGATGGAGTTAGCTCGAAAGCCGACCGAGAAATTGAATCAAAAGGACGACATTGATCAGACTAAACACCTATCGAGTTGGTTGTGAACAAAGTAGTTGGCAGCAAGCATGTCGGAAGAGGTCCAGAAAAGCTGAATGGTCGCCTAGCGCGTACGGACCTTGGATTATAATATTGGTGAATTTCCGTGAGGCTTTCCGTAGTAATGAATATGGGATTTCATTTTCTCACTGAGATGTCATCTATTTCTGTCGATGCTTTGACGTTCTGGCGTGAAAGAGCATCTGACAAAACTTGGGCGAGCTATCGCAGTTGGAAAGTAAAGGTGCTGAATTCCGGTAGTCGGCAAATCTAAAATCCAATAACGATTGACAATTTGTTAATGATGATATACCTTAGATCATAGAAGTGGCCCAGGACGTCCGATTATTCGTACGAACAGATACCAAAGCATCACGTTTACTACCCTGTGCATCACCATATTCCAATACCAATTTGACGGTTATTCCTGTCGTATACTAACCTCCAATGCCCCGTCAATCCTCAATACCACGGCCCAAAATTCTCGTCTTCCAATCCCACTAATATTATGTACCGCTACTTCCCCCTTCCTTAACTCTTCCTTTTCCTCCACATATTTATCATTTCGTTTCCTTCGCCTTGTGTCTGCATCCTGTGCGATACTATCAGTTCATTATCTATATATCGTCCACATCATGAGACTTCTGTGATGCTCCTTGGGGAGGGAGTTATGGTTTTTGCTTGTAGCGAATCAGGACTTTCCCTGGGTTGAAGTTGTTTCGACGGGAAACTCTTTGTATAGATAAACATGCAACATGAGACCTATGGGAATCAATCAAGCAGTATGGAAACGTATTAATATACACTAATTATATCAAATTAAAAAATTTTTACATTGTTATTACTTGTCAACTTGCGGAAAGCAACCTCATTTGAAACGTCATCTGCTTTACTATCTTAATCAACCCATCTTCGCTTAATAATATATATAATATGTATAAACCAACAGCATGTTCAGGTCAACATTAAGAAGGCTGATCCCATTGGCATTAAAAAAAGTTTCGACCGACATTGTTGGATAAAAGCCTGCATTATCGAGTCCTTAGATATCCTTCCCTGCCAATGATCATTAATGAATTAAACTTAAAATCTTTCTTTCCTTTTTTCTTTCTTCGTTTGAGCAACTCATACCATTGTCCTTGAGATTTTAGATGAACAAGTATTTATCAATGTCCGTTTGACTCCCACACTACTCACGGCTGCCAAAATCAAATCTCGCTCCTTCGTAAGGAGTTTCTTCCTACATCAGACTGTCCATATGTTCATGCACCCACAAAGGCCG